AAATAAAAAAAAAAATAAAAATAAATAAATAAATAAATAAAGTAGAGCTTAGGAGGGAAAGTTCCCTAAAAAAAAACTCCAATTTAGTATGGAGTAATGTATACGGGTTTGAATTGAATTTAAGATCCCCTGTTTTTTTTAGATTCAATTACTTTGTAATTTATTGTTCTAGAGTTTTTCAATCTTTGATTGTGTAGTTCAAATATGTTAATTGTTAAGGTTGATCAACTACTAAACAAACTAGATTAAGAATTGTTAAATACAAAATGGTTAACAATGATAGGTGTTCTTTGCAAGAATCTAGAACGATCTTGTGTTATAGGTGTCTTGTGAGTTAATTAATAAAAGTAGTAGAAAAATTAGCATAAATCACTATTCTCTATTATTGTTTGTCCATTTGGGTAGCCTAACAAATCAAATAATTCATGGTAAATAATAAACAACATTCCTTTTGACCAAATAGTCCTTTTGACAATCGAACACCTTTTATAGCCTTTGTTCAAGGGTAATTGAGCACCTTTTATAGCCTCTGTTCGAGGACAATCAAGAACTTTCAGTCTGTTCGGTGATAATCGAGTTTCAGCCTTTGTTCAAGGGCAATCGATCACTTTCAACCTCTGTTCGGGGACGAAAGAGGATCGCAACCTTTGCTCAAGGACATCCGAGCATATTCAGCCTCTGTTCGAGGACAATCGAGCACCTTCCAGCCTTTGTTCGAGGACAATCGAGCACCTCCCAGCCTCTGTGCAAGGACAATCAAGCATCACAACCTCTGTTTGGGGATAATCGAGCATTGCAACTTCTGTTCGAGAACAATCGAGCATTACAACCTCTGTTCGAGGACAATCGACCACCACAACCTCTAATCAAGGACAATCAAGCATCGCAGCCTTTATTAGGGGACAATCGAGCATCATGGCAATTTCCAACGGGCGTAGTGAATTGTCAATTTCTCTCCGGAAACTTTTTATGGGCGTAATGTGTTGCTAATCAATTCAATCATCCATTTGGCAATATGTGGGCGCAGTGAATTGTCAATCACCTTTTCGACAATGTCTTCCGGACGTAGTGAGTTGTCAATCAGTCATCTGGCGGTGTCCTACGGGCGTAGCAAATTGTCATCATTCATCTGGTATTCTTCCCAAGGCGCGGAAGTTTATAAATCGCATTATTAAGTGAGTTGCTCAAGGCGTAGGTGCTCACGATAGATTTTTTGAGGCACAAAAAGCTACCAAATATATTTGGTGCCGACGTCTCTATATTTTTACTTTTTTATCTGTGGAACTAACGTTTTTCTGCAGGTATTGGCGTATACAGGGTGGTTTAATATAGTAGAGTATTTTAAGTCATTCACCATCCCTATTGACTAATTTGACTTTCATTATTAAGACTTATGTCTCTAAAAACACAGTCAAAGTGGGGACTTCATTAGACACCTAAAAATGTCTCCCCGACTTAAACTTGATGATGAGTAAGACCTTTCATCGCCATTTGGTTTGAGTGGAGTATTGAAAGAAAGGAACACTTGATTCTTTCTTAGACTATTAAACAAACAACCAATCGCATTGTGACACGTACGTGTCACTATTAACCTATTAAACAGGTTACCTGGTTTTTGTTCTATTTTTAGAAGATATATGTCAAAGGTTATTTTATTTTGGAATAATTTAAAGGTCGTTTCATTTTTGAAAGATCGCCCAAAGGTTATTTAATTTTTGACAAATTTTCCTTTATTTTATACATGTGAAATTTTGGAAGTTAATCGAAAATAGAACTATAAAATAATTTATCATCTTAAAAATCTATTCGAATTTTGTTGACTTGGCACTATACGTGTCAATGTGTCACATTAATGTTTATTTGTCATGTGCGCTACTTGGTGAAAGTTAACGAATTTATAAGATATTTTCTAAAATTTATAATTTAATTTATACATATGAAATATTGGAGTTTTATCGAAAATAAAATTCTAGACCAACAATAATATCCTAATAAATCCATCCAAATTTTATTGAAAATAAAACTCTAAACTAACTTTTTATCCTAAAAAATTAATCCACATATATCCACCTTTTTATCCTAAAAAATCTATCCAAATAATTCATATGTGTCATACTAATGATTAGTTGTTACTTACGTGGCACGACACTTAACGTAAAGTTGGAATGCCAATTGTTGATATCGTGTGCCCTAGCTAATCGTACGACTTAAATTTTGTTGTATCATGACCTGACTAATCGCACAACGTTGTAATGTTAACAATGACTAGAATATTTTTAAAGTCGCTTATTAAAATGTATCATAAATGGATTTATTTTGAAGTACTCTTTAATACAAAAACTATGATATAAAAATAAAATATTTATAAGATACTAGGGATTCTAGCGCAAGCAATACACGCTATGGCTTGTCTTTGAAAAGAGTTTTTACAATTGGCCCTAATGAATTTGCATGGTATTTTATTATAATTATTTAACTTGCATGTAGACGATAAATGTGTTAGATTTTGTAACCGTGTAATATGCTTCGAAACTTTAGTAAAGTTAATTTAGATTTAAGTGACAAAAATTATCAAGTTCTAGAAAGGTAAAAAATCTATCCAAATTTTATTGAAAATAAAACTCTACTGTGGCCGACACTTGGTGAAAACACTTGGCGAAAAGTTGAAACGCCAAGTGTCGTTGTCATCCAGGTCGAGTCATCGGGTTCGGGTTAGGATTGTTAGGTCTACTGGTAACCTTCACATGCTAGCAGCAACGGTAACCTCAACAATAATCGGCCACCAGCACCCGAGGTTGGTTTTGGTGACTTGAGTTGGTTTTGAATGATGAAGGTAATTTTATGGATGTGTGGAGTTGTTTCCAGGTGAGTTGGAGAGTCTTCCGAGGTGTGAGAGTTGTTTTTTAGGATGTCCGTGCGCTCAAATGGCCGGAAAAGGAGGTGGGATTTCATAGGCAGTGGTCGGAAAGGAGGTAGCTAGTTGTTGGTGGTTGGGATGACAATTGGTGGATGAGGGCATAAAGAGGAGGGATTTGAGTTTGTTTTCTAAGCTAGTATTTTGGCTTGTGCGACTATGAGCTATTAATATTAGTAGTAAAATTAGAAAGTAAAAAAATGTTTTTGTTATTTAATTTTACTTTATAAATGTATTTTCTTGAGAGAAATGAAGAGTTTAAAAGAAAGAGGAAGGAGTGACAATTGAAATGCACCCATAAATAGTACTTACGTTGTATGTAAATAAACAATAAATACATATAGAGATGGCAGTGGGTCAAGTTAAATGGAGACCCGCCCCATCCGCGCCCAAGTGGGGCGATGATGGAGGGGGGTTTGGCGGGTGATGTGGCAGGGATGGGTATAAAATGTGTACCCACCATGGGTGATGGGGAAGATATGGATTTTAAAGTATACCCGCCCCATACCCACCTTATACTTCCCTTAGAAGAGTTTAGAATTTATGAAACTTGATACCCCCTAAGGCCCAATAAATCCAAAAAGTAAGAGTCCCAAATTTTTTAACCTAATTTGATATAATTGTCATTAATGTGATACAATACATCATCATGGAAGTTTGGGACGGTTTTGGGGCGGGTATAGGGTGGGTATGGATATCCAAGTGGGTGGTGGGCAGGGATGGATTCTATCTTGTACCCGACGGGGCAGGTATGGATGTGGATATTGTACCTGTCATGGGTGATGGGGTTTACAAGTAGGTATGGGTATAGAGGTACCATCATCCACATCCGACCCACTCCATTGCCAGCCAATTCTAAATACATTTAGTGAATTAATAATGAGGTTAATCTTAAAAAAAAAAAAATTAAAAAATGGAGAAAGAAAAGGGGGACACGTGTCATTTGTGGTTTGTGTTAATATATAGTTCGGATTGCAGGTTGCAACTCGTCTACATGAAGCCGAAATTGCTAGTAATTGCCAGTCAGCCTTACGACAGTGAATTCATTCCCAGACCTTATACACACCGCCCGTCACTAATAAATCTAGGTATAGATATAGATTAAATTATATTTTTAGGAATTAATTAATCATTAAATTTAAATTGAAATATCGTAATCATTTAAATAGTGACATCCCTGACATGTTTAACTTAACTTACTAAAATTGGGTTATCAATCGATAATGATCTATTTAAAAAGATTGCCCTCGAAAGATGGAATTATTTTGACATAATAAAAAGATTATTTTATTTTAAAAAACGGTCAAAGATCGTATTATTTTTGAAAAAACTTCTAGTTTTTGTTGGGTTAAAAGGGGCCTTCCAAACTTCCACTACTCCGTAATATATAAAAGGGTAGAATATGAAAATATGAAGAAGAAAAAAAAAACTAAAATGAAAAGTGAGTAAAAAAAAATGGAGGAAGACATTTGGTTATTCACAAATTCTTATAAATATGTGGTGTGGTTAACCATTACGGGGGATACTCTTAGGCTCCATTTGGTTTGATGTAAAACAATTTCAATGAAAAATTAGTTTTCATAGAAAACATATTTTCTAGGAAAATTACAATTGCAAATTAGTTTTCTTCTGTTTGGTTGCATTCAAGAAAAATGTCAAATATGAGTGGGAATGTAAGGATGGATGAGAGGAAAGTAAAAAGGAGGTACAGAGGGAGGAAAATGTGGCTTTCATATTTTGAAAAGGAAATGTTTTCCATCATCAAAGGTGCAATTTTCCACAAACTAAACAAAGGAAAACAGAAAAAAAAAATGAAAAAGTCATTTTCCATGAAAACATTTTACTTGGTCAATGTTACAGGGATTATTTCATCAGTATTATAAGGATACTAGGTCAATGTTATATAAATTATTCGATCAATATTATACAAATTATTATTTTATAAGCGACAAAATGATATAGTCAGCCGCTCACAAAACACGTCGTTAATTATTTCAACAAAGTCCGAAATTGGAAAGAAACTAAAGTGGACTCCCCTCCCGAGTCCTGTGAAGAGGACAAGAGGTCCACAATAATTATCAAAAAAAAAAAAAAAAAAAAAAATCATTAGACATCCAAATCACTTTCAAACAACGATCCATTAATTTTCATTCCGGCTTTCTTTCTTCTTCTTCTTCTTCTTCCTCTTCACCCCTTTATATATCCCGAAAATCCTCTCTCTCCTCTCTCATCACTCTTAATTCTTCCATTGTTCTCCAACTAACTGCTGTTAGAGAGAGAAACTCAGAAGAGAGAGAAACTCAAAGATTCGATCGTCTTCTTCGCTCGGATTCTTCCGCCATGGGTTGCATTTCTTCGCGCGACAAAACTACTGGTGCTGGTCAGCTTCTACTCCTCTTTCTTCTTTCCTTAATTTTTGAAGAAATTCAATTCAATTCGTCTTTTTCTTTATTTGTTTGTGATTTTTGATCCTGCATTTTGTTTAATTCGTTGAGTTTGAAATGATGATTTGTTGATTTTCCAGATATTTGAGTAGTTGTTTTGTTGATTTCTGAGGATTGCGTTGAATTTGTGATACCAATGATGCATATTTAGTATTATTTAGCTTGTTGAATTTCATATTTGGAATATAATTTGAATGTATAATTGTTATGAAGTTAACATTTAACAATAATTCTTGATTATTATTGAGTAGTTACGGCGCTGCGTTGTTCCTAAATGTTCAATCATTCAATTTAACTACTATAGGCTTGTATACTTTATAGTTTATAATATTGCTACTATTATTTGTTTTTCTTGGTTTAATAATGTAAGTATATTTTAAGGAGATACTCGTATCAATCATTCTTGGAACTTTGGAAGTGTGATTGTTTGATTAGCTAACAGAAAAGTCGTGATTATTCCTGTAATGTGAATAGCGATGATTTGATCTTGCATGTTATGATTGCTGTGTTTTCTTCATAGAATGTGCAGTCATTCTAGTTATTGTTACCAGTAGATGTCAATATGTAATTGATTTGAGTTGTAAAGAACTTACATTATCATGTGCTAATCAAAACTGGATGCAGAATTTTAAATGTCAATTCCTTAATAGTCATATTTGGCTGTCTAATTCGTTATTCATTTACTTGGAAAAATTGGCTTTTCATCCTGGAATTAGGTTCTGTTTGGTTTTTCGATGTCCTTTTTGGGTGGGGAGGGGGTGGTGGAGGAAGAAACACTAAGAAGAAGGTTTTGTTAAGGGATAGTTGGATAGTAGGCATTTCATGTTTCTCATTCACATTATTAGTGCTACTCTCTTTCATCATTTTTAGACATTTCTAGCTGGCAAATCATGTTTTTTCTCGTGTAATCTTGAACTTGATTTAGACTTTGCATGGTAGTGTGGCTTTCCAGGTAATGTTTTCTGTTGGCCACAAAACTAAGTTGTTAAGGTAGTCTCGTGAACTTAATTTAAACTTTGCTTGGTAGCGTGGCCTTCCAAGTAACATTTTTCATTGGCCACAAACCTTAGTTGTTAAGATAGTCTCTTGAACTTGACTTAGACTTTGCTTGGTAGCGTAGCCTTTTAAGTAATTTTTTCCGTTGGCCACAAATCTAAGTTTTTAAAGTAGTCTCTTGAACTTGATTTAGACTTTACCTGATAGCGTCTCCCCCCAAGCAATGTTTTTATTGGCCACAAATCTAAGTTGTTGAGGTAGTCGAGTAGAGGATGATAAGATATTAGTTTAAGCATTATCGATGACAATCCTTGTCAGCTGTCTCAATTTAAAAATGCTCATGAGTCATGCTAGTTATTTCCTTCATTAGTCTATGGGTCTGTAAAGTGAATTTATTTGAATTTCTTATGAAAAGTTTCCATGTTTTGGACTTTTGGTCAAAACTAATTGCCAAATGTCTAAATTAATATCAGCTTGTCAAGAATTTGATATGTATACTTAGGTGAAATCATAGCATCAATAACATAGCAAATAAACATCGAATCTTCTCAGACCCTCTTAATGTAAGATTTGAAATGTGTCTCTCTATACACTTCCTAGCAATCATTTTTAGTACGAGAATTTAAGGAAATAAACTCATAAATTGTAACTGTACTACGAGTGTGATCTTAAAAGCCTGAGGGAGTAACATTTTTCCCAACTTTGCTGTTTATCATCCCTTATATGCCCATGCCTCCATCTTTGACCAACTGTTTCTCAAATTGTGTGCATTTTTTGTCATATGTTGAATTTGCGGAAGAACTTAATTGTTGGAAAGAAGTTGGTCCAGAATTACATTAAAAGGAAGAATGATCAACACGATCAAATCTTAAAAGCATAACTTATTTGAATAAGCCAGCGACCTTGATGCAAATTCATATTCTTTGGTGAAAGGTCAAGGCAACCTTGTAAATCTGAACTAATTGAAGAACATCTAAATAGTTTTCAGTTGCTCAAGTAATTATGTTTTCCAAATTTCAACATCAAAAGCCCTTCCTTTTAGCATAGACAAAAAATGCATCTCCTTAATACAGACATACTGTTGCACCATTTTGTAAGAAGATCTACTTCGTATTATTTTACATTACATTTAAAGATTTAATGAACTTTTTTCCTCTTATGCATTACTTCCTCTGTTCCTTGAATATTGCAACATTTCCCTTATACGGATGTGTACATTATTGCAAATTTTCCTTATTTGTGCATGATTTCTCTCTATCTATTTCTCATCACTTGGATCCTGCTTTTTATTCCTCTATCTCTCCTCATCAAACAGGCTTCTTAATTTCTGCGCACCCTCTGCAATATTTTATAAATGGAGGAAGTATATAACAAAAACATTTTGTCAAATCGCAAACTAAAACAGTTACTATCATGTATGAGCTATTTCATCCATTTTTTTCTTCTCCTTTTATGTTTTCATGCATATTGCATTTTGCTGTTCTTGTCTCTCAGATTCCTAGATGCCTGATGATGCTATATGCTTTAGTGAGGCTTCTTGCAGATACTAATATTTTATCTTGTATGGTTGATTACTCACAATATAATAACTACAAAACTACACAAGATTTTAGAAAATCCTCTCTCAATAGTATTTTGCAGATTTATCACAACATCCTGGTTTTGCATAATCAACGAATGGGATTTAGTGACACCATTTTGTACTTGTATAGCTGACCTGGTTTATTTCACCGTAGACGTGATAATTGAAAGTATTTTAACTTCATAACTGTTTAATGTATGTAATGAGATTGATTACAGATAAAAAGTGGACAAATTTGTAATGTGTTCTTCTGCTACTATACTAGGTTATGCGGGCTTTTTTTTCCTTGAAATTTGTTGGTGAGTTAAGTTAAAGGAAGTGCTTAATACTACTTCCTCACCTGTGATTCTTGTGAATGCCCTTTTGTAATTTATAGGTGTACTGCTAGATATTTGATCTGGATTGCTATTCCTGATTCCTCCAAAATGAGAAATTTATATGATTTCCTGTTACCTTTCCCTTGGTTGTGTTTTTAATGATCCAAATTGGACCGTAAATGACTGGAAACTCGGAAAGTAATCTTTTGGTTGGAAGGAGTACTTGTCTACTTGCCCATCATTCCATTTATCTACTTATGTATTCTTTTAAACTCCAACAAAAGCGAATGGACAAAATTAAGTATATGGAGCAGCGTCTTATGGGAACGTCAATGAGCTCAATTAGAAGCTTATTTTTGCTTTTAAAAGTTGGCTGAATTTGGCTCCAAAAATTTTTTTTTAGAGAAGAGAGAAAGAGAGGTGGTACCAATGCTTGATCCCTGGACCTAGACTTCAGAGCTTTCATTCTCTTACCACTAGTCCAAGAGGGAAGCTGGTTGGCTCCAAAAATTTTGGGATAAATACACTGACCAAAAAATTACATGGGGGTTGCTGGAGTTTGGTAACATGTTGAAGAGAGTAAAGATGAGCTTGTTCAGTTGATAGATAATATGGGGTATATCTTTAATCTACAGTAAGAACTTGAGTTTAATGATGGGCATATCAGTGATCAAGGTGACTATCTGGTATAATGGTATTGGTAACATGTCGAAACAAGTAAAGATGAGCTGGCTCAACTGATAGATGGTGCTTAGTACCTCTTTAATCTACAGTAAGAACCAGAGTTTGATGATTATATTGATTTACAGCTGGGCATGTCATTGATCCCGGTGACTATCTGGTATGATGATTGTAAGTTGTGTATACACTTGCTAATATGAGAATGTACCCCTGACGTGTATATTGATTACTGGATGCGAACGTGGCATTAAATCCTCTTCTTGACCCCTTTTGTGTTTGTAGTTTTAGGACTTTGAACGTTAGAGTTTGAATTTAATCATGATAGAATTTTTGGCTCATTGTGTAATTAGGTTGATGAATTACAGTCCTTTCAGGTATTTACGTAGAGTTTAACTGTTCCCCTCAAAAAAAAAAAAAAAAAAAAAAAAAAAAAAAAATTGTAGAGTTTAACTGTAGGGTATTAGTCTGAGGCGCTCTTCTATTACATCGCTTGTAGTCATTTAATCTGTGGACCAGTTGTACTGGTCTTTATATCATTGTTGTTTGTACTTTGTAGCTTTACATGTACAAAATCTGGATAGTTAATTGTGTCTACTGCTCTATCTCTCTGCCTATATGCTTTTATTATTGTACTTTTTGTTCATTAATGCCATCTTGCATTATCGTCCCTTTGAAATCATTTCTTTGTTTTATGCCTTGGCAGATAGCGCTAAGAAGATTAGAAAGCCAAAGCCATGGAAGCATACTGAAGCAATTACTAGGGAACAACTGAATAGGATGCGTGAGGAATTCTGGGACACAGCACCTCACTATGGTGGCAGACAAGGTATTTGTTTGGTTAACATGCAATACTCTGCTTTTAAACTTCATAAATATTGTCTTTTAAAGCTGTTATGGTCTTTAGAAGTTCATGGAATTCAGTGCTGCAATATCTGCAATTGTATGTGTGGCTGCTTGAAGTCTCCTTTCATGTCTGCACATTTTTGCACTTGATGCTACTTTTGGTACTATTACTATTGTTATCTTCTGTTGTGTCTTTTCTCTGTAACACCAAGTCATTACTTAGTGCCTGATTTGGGTAATTGGGTCTCTAAATATGTATTAAATATGTCACGTGACTTCTTGTGTGTATGGTGGACATAAGTTGGAGAGCTTCTCCAGTGTCATCTATCCTGTGATGTAGTTTTGCTCCTATGAAAAGGGGTTCTAATGTCTTCAAGTGCTCTGATTACTTCATAGTTCATCACTGAAATTGTTAGGCATTCTGCATTTTGTGTAACAAAAGAGTACTCTACTACTCCATCTATACCGAAATGCTTTCTCACTTCTGAATATCATCTTCCCTTCAGTAGTTGAAGTGGACAGAATTTGAAGGTTGGGAGAATGTTTGTTTATAAGTTTCATTTTGTTTTACTCTATCTTTAATAGACTAGGTTTCAGACTGCATATTTCAGAATTAACAAGACAAATGAATAATAATGAAAACTTGTATCTTTGATTGAAATTGGCAAAAGGGTTACAAAATGATAGGTTTAGGCTATTACTCTCTTGATAACTGTAGGTTATCACTCTCTTAGCAACTCTTGGTTACTACTCTCTCAACATAACTCCTCACAATTCACATAATACTCTACTGCATATGCTGCAACTTCTTATATAATCAAGCAAGACCACAAAGATAACAAAGATACCCTAACATTAATTAAGCTTGTCTTCTACTGCTATCAGAAATCAGCCCATGTTGCTATACTCCCTAGCGCTTCCTTAATTTGTTTTGTCTCCTAGTGTTGCTCCTTGTCTCCCTCTTATTTCGTGTTGCGTCTTCCTTGTACCGGGTCCATTACACTATCCTTGGTAGAAAGCTTGATGGAATTAATTTACTCAATCTGTAGAACTATTGAATGTAATTATCGTGTAGGATAGATTAATTGAGTAACAATTAGTAAAAGGGCTTGGAGGGTGGTAGAATGTAGCAAAGCTTTTGATTGGTATTGATCATAAAATAAAAATTATCCTAACTGATGAGACAATTAATACTTGGTAACACCTACTCATCCTAAATATCATGCATGATCCTCTCTGATAAATTAATTCTCCAAGCTGGTTAAAACTTTTCTTGAGACTGTTCTCGGGGAGCAACTCTAGATTATAGATAGAGCATGCCATCGAGGGTATATGGTTTATGCTCCTAATCTCTTCTTAGGTAGGTAGGCAAGGGCCACAGCCACACTGACAGTAGCCTGCTATTATGTTGTTTGCTAGTAGCCTAGTAGTGTCAGCACTCTGGAAAAGGGGATAACATGCCCACATAAATCCCAAGTCCAATGACTTGGCCCTTGCACCACTTTATCTTCAATAATTTCTGGAAAGAAGATTCCAGAAATTGTACTCTGGTCTTGATGGTGGAAAGGCGAAGAACTTGTGAACTCATCTAAAGCTAGTCAAGGAATCTTGTCCTGCACGTGGTGTGCTGTATGTCTGGTCAATAGGGAGACAATTTGTTTTGCACTGTTCTTCCTGGTGGAAGGATTTTGGACATTCCACATATACTACTGGCAGTTTTTCTGAACAGATCCTTTGTATTCTCTGGTATTTTGTGGTTTTTGGCTGTTTTATGGTATCTTCTATAATATGCTCTTGCAGTCTGTTGAACCACTTATTTTTTACTTTTACAATATCTCCACTTGCTTTTAGATGAATTCTTTGAATTTTAATGTATCTTTCTAGTTTTTGTGTGTTGATGGGGCATAATGCTTTAAACTAATCCTTTTCTTATAAATTTTTATAGTAAGGATTTAAAGCTAAATATCAATGTTTGAGATATGCTTCACCTTTTTTTCCCTCTTTAATTTCCATGTCTGGATACATTTTGGCACATGGAAAGTTATTTGCTACACAATACTTGCTCATTTTGTGTTTATGGTCTGTTGCCAAGTCGATATTAAGGTTTGAAGTTGATGATGGAGACTTCCTTTTGTGTTGTGTCATTGCGTCCTGTGACAAAATGTTCTGCTATCAAATTGATGATTCACACTGGCAGGATTTTTTCCTTGTTAAATTATTTCTAGCTTCTTTGTAAACAGACATTGATATGATAATTGTCAGCTGTTATGATTCACATGTAATGTAAGGTTTCTTGCTATGATCTGCAAATAGTCGTTGCTGGGAGATTACCCAACTTTCGTTTATGTTCTCTATGTTAGATTTCTTGATATGACCTGTACTTGACTACCTTACTAGTGATTACTGTAGGACTTCCCAATGTTTGTGTATTGTGTTACTGTCATTGTGCTTTTCTAACTTGGCGTCAAGTTTGTTGATTTGAGAAATTTCTAATGGATGGGTTTCATATTTTAGGCTAAATGATGAAACTTTTCTCTTATCAGAAATCTGGGATGCACTCCGTGCTGCTGTGGAAGCTGAACTGAGTATGGCACAAGCAATTGTTGACAGTGCTGGAGTAATTGTGCAAAATCCTGACCTGACTGTTTGCTATGATGAGAGAGGTGATGTACCCATTCAGCTTTACTTTAACTTTCATTTGTGTTCCTGTAAATCAGTGCTACTCTTACAACTTACATTGAAGTATTTGAATTGCTTTTGCAGGTGCAAAGTATGAACTGCCTAAATATGTTGTGAGCGAACCAACCAACTTGATCCGTGACAATAATTCTTGAGAACTGGAAGTTAAACCAAAACTGACAAGGTTGTAAATCATGTAAATCAATACTATAGTGGTTCTTTCATGTAGTCTAGCAGGAATATCTCTACAATTTTTTCTGCCATATATCCTATCGGAAATGGGCTCATTGACTCAACTCAGCTACTGAGGGTTGATTATATAGATTCTTCTGGAGAAACATATGGTGTACTATTCTACTTTTGTTGATTTGCTGCTAATTATGTGCCAGAGTTTACAGATCATAGGCTATCCAAGCAACTGAACAAATATGCTAATTGCTCTTAGTCTGGTGGCAATTCTCACTGATATAGTATATCGTATGTGCTCAGCATATATTTCATTAGTGGTTCATAATGTTAGCAGTAACTGAGTTGCATTGCAGTACATGTTTATCATCTTTGAGGCTTGTTTGTCCTCTGTTTCTTATCTTTTTGGTTGATTTTTTTTAATCCCGTTACCATGTATAGTACAGAGAAATTTGTTAGTACTTGTACTATGTAAGGTGCAGCGATGCATATGCACACTTAAGAACCAAGCTGCAAATCAAAGATGCTGAATTGCACAGTATGGACGCAGAAAATTTGGACAGATCAAAGATACTGAAACAAGGTACTCCTACATTGATATGTTATGGATGCCGAAAATTTGGACAGTACAGAGGAAGCGATTCTTTAGTCATTAATCACGACGTTTGCAATTTTAATTAGTCAGTATAGTACATGACTACATGTCCATGTATTAAGTTTGATCCTATATTTCCCATACGAACCATAATTTCGGGGCAAGCAATATGCAATTTATTAAAAATGCCATTATTTGAATCAACTTTTGGGTACACGAATTGGCACATGCAGAGTATTGAGTATCAATATTGAGTAAAGAATTAATAATAACATAGCAAGAAAACGATGGAACGGAGTGTTAGCAATGAAAATTTGCATTAACAACCTATATGATTACACGTGATCCCTAGAAATGATTAGCTACAACATTCCCTAAAAATTACGGAGTAAATAGAAAAAGTTACAGCATGAAATGTCAAATGTGTATTTCGTCTGTTCATATTGAATTTGTCTGTAACAAACATCAATATTACATTTTCAAGCACAAGAAACGATCAAATGTATTCATTGGCGATTGAACATCCCAAACCAAATATAAATGTATTGGTAGAATCTTCGATCAATTCGTTCTCTAGGATTTATCTCTTTATGTGAGATAATAGGAATGAGACAAATATATATAGGAATAGAGCCACAAATGGAGTTCTAATGAATTTATGAAGAACGGGATTTGATCCCAGGTCTTGAATAGCACCCCCTCAAGACTTTAACTAGTTAAGCTAGTTGATTTACTACACTGTTGAAATTATGTGATGCAATTCTTTTTATATAAATTACTTTTTATATTTTTGAAAAATATTACCTATTTTCAAATTATTTGCAATGATTCTACATAAAGTGTGAGTAGAAAATGTTAAATTGTTGTAAATAATTTGAAACGCAATACATGTAATATTACTTAGGTCCTGTTGTTTTGAATTAGATAGTGTTGAGTTGTAAATTTATTGGAGTTGAATTGAATTCAAGAATACAATGGAGTATGACACATGATGTAATTTTGGGTGGAGAATGTAATAATTGTATAAAGTTTACTGAATTCATACTTACGCAATTTCGAGATGAGTTAGTCGGTTTGGCTCACAATGGTAAAACTTGATGTCTTCTAGTTAGGTTGAAACATCTCTTTTATCCATATATTTCTAAGCATGTGATGAACTACTACTTAGCTTAGCCACCACTTGTCCTTTAACATTCCCTGTACATGATAAATAATAATTGGAGAGAGGAAGCATCATCAAAGCCATCAACTAGAATATAGCCCTTGAAATGCCTCATTATTGCCTAAGTTAATAGCGTGTTAGGCCAGCCGCAAAGGTGTTATAGATTTGCTACAAATTATCACACTTGAGAGCAAATCTCAAACCTAAGCCCCAAACTAAAAAACTGCAAAAAGAAGGATAATTTATTGAGTTTAAGTACAATTAACAAAGCTAATGTTCCTTGGGAACTAGACAAAAAAGAGGCTTTATCTTTGAATAAAAATGATTTCTACCACTTTCATATCTTCTACATAAATATTGCAATTGCAAGGGACTAATAAAGCAAGGAATAATTGGACTATCTGCTAAGTAGAAAGATTAGGAACACTGTATCTTTGGCCATTCATTTAGTAAAAGAGAGATTAATTAGGACATGTCCCACATATTATATTTGGAAAGCTAATGTGCCTATTCATGTTACTCCACAAAAGTTTGCTCAACAAAACCGAGGTTTACCTTCAATTTTTTGCAATTTGTCACCCCATGAACTGCGCAATTTACATATAACTATGTAAGTGATATAAAACTAATACATTAGGGTAAGTAGGACACCATGCCGTATTAAATGTACGTACATGTTAGGGGATCATATCAAATCAGCTCAAATTATATAAGATAATTTTAACGTAAAAACATATCAAATCTTAAAATATTCAGATAGTGACACCTTATTTTATACAAAAAGAATGTAGCATCAATAAGAAAGCTAATGAAAAAAAAAAATTAAAACCAAAAGTAGACCAAAACAATTAAATTCTCCTAAGTTTTTTTTAGCATCATCTAACTTTTATAAACCAAGGTGCATATTGATGGTCAAAAATTAAAATAAAGCAATTGTTGGCTTGTAGCCCTTGTAGCATGATTCAACAAGTTGGACAAAACCTTCAAATATAATTTGGGCATAGCAAGAGAATCCTAGGAGATCTCAAAGTTTGACTTCTTAATCTCATTTATTTAATTAATGATTCTCTATTGATATCACAACCCTGTGAAACTTTGTTGCTAATCTACTTTTTAATTAGCATTGCATGCCTCTTACAACATGCAGATTAGAAGATTAAAGAATAAAAAAGGCATATATATTTCCTATTTAGACTAGTTTAGTAGGATTTTTTTTCCTTTCAATTTTTTTTTTTTTTTTCTTAAGTAACTTTTTAATTAAGTGCTAGCCTTTCACAGCTCACAGGGTCAAGAATCAGGTATTTTTTATATTATCAATCTAATTTTATTGTTTAATTTTTTTTAGGGGGAATATACATGTCTCGTGTATCGGAATATAACATCATTTGGAGTTAAAGGGAAATCACAATTAGAGAATTTAGAAAGTACAATTAGTACTAAACATCCCTAAAAAACACATAAGTACATATAGTAATCATTTGCCTCTGTTTTTAGGTTACGTTGCTTTGTCTAATTTTCCTTCAAGTTGGTTTTAATTTATTCATTTTATGAAATTATAAGAAAATTTACGTTTCATTTAGTACAATTAGTATATCATCCTAGAAGCAAATTACGTTGTAGATCATTGTATTCTCCACAACTCAAGTGTTGTTATGTGTGGAGTTAATACATCTGTCAATACATTAGTTCTTATTCGTTAAACATGACCTTTGAGAGAAAGGTCCCCTAACTTTACATGTATACTTTTCGAAAAACAAATGTCCTATTCAACCATAATATTTCTAGTAATTTTAATATTTTCCTTAGATCAACTGCAAATACTTGAGAGTGATTCGACCTTATAATCTCAAGGTAACAAAGTAAATATCCCTTCCACCTACACTGTTACACAAAGCTTGGTGACATCTTTCATGTATGTACATCGGTACATGCATATCGGCAAATGTAAGCATTTTCAGATACCATAATCCTTGTATTTGGTCCATAAGAAAGAAGACGACATAATATGGATGAATGTTGTTGGCATCTTATGTTTTCTGGCATCCCATATTAACATGTCGTCGGTTTAACCAATAATCCTATCAAGTTCATCTATTGTCATCTTCTGCATTTCTATAATTGGACAAAGGCCATTAAATACTTGTATTTTACACTTGTTTTGTCAACTTGCACTTTCGTATAATTGGACAAGGGAATTGAAGGATATTGACCAAGTTAATTGATAAAGATTGAAGAAGTGTCTAAATATCAAAATCAAATCAATTTATACGTAAATCATTATTTTCTGGGACTCTTTAACACAATATAAAAATACATATATACGGATCCAATAATCATCAAATTTATGTAAAAACAGTTGTTAATATTGACTTTATTGACAAAAATACTTTACAAAAATTATACACAAACATTTGATAAGAATAACACGCAGGAACAAGAGGCTAATTAAGACTAAGACGAACACACACACACACAACTAACATCAGAATTGTTGCTTAGGTGGTAGAAAAATATTTTTGCACTGTCAACCAAATTGATGGCTTACATTATATATTATCCACAAATACGTAAACATTAAGTTTTGTAAAAACTATAACATTGGGATTTTTATTTTATTTTTTTTAAGAAAAAAAAATCTATATACTTGTATGTTTTATAGGCCTTAGATTATTTTCTCAATATTAGCTTGGAATTTAGCTAAATGGTAATGATGAATTGGGATTTGGGAGGATGGGTAAGGATTTTTTGACATACACCCTGTGTTAGTTTTTTTTTTTGTTTCTTTAATTTGAAATTTGAAATTTAAGAATAAAGAAATTTCGACCATAAGAAAATACATACTTATATGGCCGGTATGAGAGTCTTCTTCATATGCAGAGTCAATTTTTTTTTTTTAAAGCATGCAATTAATTGTCGAAGATATTAACGCTCAAATATTTGCATTGAAAAAAGTGTAAAATTGGAATAAAAAAAGGAATAGAGCGAGTAAAATAAGAGTTAAATTATGAGCTATTGAGCATTATTTTGATTATATGCAAGTAGCTCAAAAGTCTAGCAAGTATATGTATGTTACTTGCAGTAATTATTAAAGACTTGCAAAAAGTGAGAGTGAGGGATAACTCAAGTGGTTAGAGCTCACCTCCCGATTTTAAAAGATTTTGGGATCGATTTTCATCACTCGTCCTTATGGCTCTCTAAACAACAACAAAAAAAAAAAAAAAAAAACTTAGCAAAAAGTTAATTTAATTATTGGATGTTGTAGCAATTTAAAATTTGATATTTGACTCTTGTCAAAAAATGTTAAACTTACATAGATACCATTGCGAGGAATATTATATAGGGTTTTTCATAGACTGTCATTTTAACCATATGATATACCTAGCTTAATTAATTGAAATATGAATATACTCCCTCTGTGTTTAAATAAGTGAAACGTTTTGACTTTTTGCACGATTCATCTAATTCAATTTGACTTTTTGCACGACTCATAAGAATAAATATAGTCTTGTGGGTATTTGTTGGGATCGTGTACTTGTTGGGATTGTCTCAATGAATAAATTATTTATATTCAATTTTTATAACACTTACGTATTGATAATTAAAGATATTATCGGTCAAAATTTTATATTGGCATATGTGCACAAGGGAAACATTTCATTTATTTAAAAACGGAGGGAGTAGTAGTTAAGATGTTCTGTCAAATTTTGTACGCACCATTTATCTTTTATAACTCTCTTTTACACGGAGAAAAAAAATATATATAAAATTTAATTATAGATTGACATTGACTTTTATCCATGTGTTATATACTTATATGTAGTTTTAAATTAATAACAAGGAGTTAAACATAAAGATAAAAAAAAAGGGGCCATAGTTATAAGTTAAATTAATGTCACATCCTTTCAACTCCCACATGAGATTAGATGATTCAGATCTTGAGGTCGCAGTCACTATTATCCGATTGATGTTTCTGTTCAGCTGTTAGCAGCACAAAGTGCGTTCAATTCAACAATCTTTTTATTTTACAAGTACTTACTCGTATTTATTTATTTTTGGGTCAATCATCTATCTGTTCAAAATTTAATGCTTCAAAAGTTCATATGCTACTTACCATCCTACGTACCAAAAAAATTTTGGTTGCCAAATTTGTAAGTTATTCAACACCATAATTATATTTGGTCCCCAACTCTCCTATTAGATTACCAAATTTTGAATAATTTCCCCCTGCAGTAAATGTACGAGTAGGACAAAATCATTAAATTAGACATTATCTTGAAAATGTCTTTGAATAATGTTTCTAAGTTTTGACATCTAAATTTTAAGGGTGAGTAATTTGATCCCAAAAAAAGGGTGAGTAAATTTTAGGGAATAATCGAAATTGGAATTGAAACCTACATGCAAATTCGATACCAAAATTTAAACCACGTATTCAAGTTTCTAGTACGTTTGACAAATTTTTATTTTTCTTTTGGTTACTACGTAGTACTAGGTATCTAAAACTTTAAACCACAATCAAATAAGAGAACGGTATTCAAATTAGAATCAATGGCGCACTTATAACAAAGATAAACAATAAGGATCACACGAAAAAAATTTAAGTGAAAAATATCCTCTTTGCCAAAGAAGTAAAAACCACAAACTTTGCCCTAGGATTTCAATCAATGAGTGAGATAATGATACAAGACTCTCAAGATCTCACAATCTATGCCTAAACATTAAATATGAATTCTCTCTGTTAGAGTTCTCTAACCTCTCTAATTTATACTAATCTATTAAAAGGTGTTTCTAAGAACGTCGATGTGTCACGTAGTCCCTTTTGTATTACGCCACGTCACCTTCCCAACATCTCATACCGCCACATTATCACTCAAACAATCTTAATAATTACCCCACATCACCCGAGAAACCAATATTATTGTATAATACGTCATATCACCTAAGCAACAAACCAATATTACTCCATATAAAAACATAAAGATTAGGAGATTCGAGCCCTCAACTTCTTATAACAAAGATGACTATTTAACCATCTAAGCCACTTATCAACTATTTCATTACTATGTAAAAAAAAACTTATAAAAGTGCAAACCACAAGTTGAGGTTCAATTAAAAAAAAATAATAAGATAATCAAAATTGATAATAAATTATCAATTTTGTTTTAATAATGATAATTTCAGTTTTGAAAAGCTTTTTAAAAGAATTATCGATTGCACGTCTACAACAGTAGCAACCTAAGGCAACGCCCAGGATATTCACTAGTTTGAGAATTACACACCGAGCAACAAATCTTTCACGACTTAATAGGCTATTTATAGAAGGGTCGTATTATAGTCTCCTACTTAACTTTAATAGACTAGCCGCGTGTTTACGGAGATATAGGACTACACGTCATGAGTAGTACATTACACAATCGTGTAGTGGGTGTAACGACGAATGTGGATTGAAAAACAAGATGGTTGAAGAAGGTGAACTAAATATATCCTAACTTAAGTCATCAACGACTAATCATACATACATGCTAATAATACCACCGGCCAAAGCACAAATTCTAAATTTTGCTTTTGTTGGTACTAATAAAAAAGAATTTTGATACTGAGACTGATATCACTAAACATAATTTATTGTCTGTTTGGTAAGTGACTATAATTGATGGTAATGAGAATGAATTACTTGTAAATTTGTAAGGAAAATTAAGGTTCATTCCCATAATCCTATGATAATTCTAGCTCACCCCAAATTGACTATTTTTCTTTAGAAATTTTCATTCCCAACTAATACCTCTTCCTAGGAGGAATAGATGGTAATAAAAAAAAAAAAAAATTCAAGAAACACATGTTTGAGAATGAAATTCCATTGTTATGGAGATAACAATGTTAATATCTTTCCTAAATTACACTTAAAATCTATTCTTTTTACCATCACTTATTATCGGATACCAAATAAACAATTAGTACCAGTAAACATTATTAGAGTCATCAGTGACATGGAGTGTGGTACAAAACCATACCCTAATTATGAGTTATGACTCTTAAATAACTTTTGGTCAATCTAATCCTAAAATCCCTCATTTTTACCCGTGCAAAAAATGACCTTGAGTATGGTCCAAAAACTACCCTTAACCTGACCCCACCATCCAGTGGACCCCACATGCCATCCAACGGCTAGGATGCAGAATCCACGTGGATTCTGAGCAAGGTCCCACCTTTTCTCTCTCTACCCTCTACACTCATCTGCTCGCAGTTGCTACTTACACTAGTTGGCTGGAATTGGTGGTGTTTGTTTTTCTCTCTCTTCCTCAAAATCTCTCTTTTCAACTCACCGTCGTTCTCAACGCAGAGTTCATGTGAAAGTTACAAAAAAAACAGAGTATTAGAAAGCCTGAAGATCGGGGTGCACTTAATTTTCGGTTGAAATTAATTTTTTTTTTTCTTAAAGTAACCCCACTTTGCTTCTGATTCAGGTGATTGTTTTCTCTCTTTTTCTTTCTATTTCTATGTATTTCTTAATCTGCATTTTTCACTGGATTTTACACCATTTTCTCCTGATTTAATGTGTTTATGTATGTATTGTTCTTTTATTTTGATTGTTTTGCAAGTAATTTGTCTCTTTTTGCTAATGTGCCAGCTTTGAATTTGCTGCTTAATTTGTTTTTTATTGTTTATTTTTTGGCAGGGTGAAGAATATTTTGCTGGGTTTTTAGTGCTGAGCTGTTATCTGATAAGTTTTGGAACCCTTGATGCTTAATTTGGTCATATTTGTTTAATGGGTTTTCTTAATTTATGATATATATGCTGTTTTTGTTGATGGTGGTGCATTTGATTTAAATGAAATTTTGAGAAATAATGGTAATTATAGTGGGAGGGGAGTTGATCAAATTTGTGGGTTCGACGTCGATTTTTGGGTATAGTATTGATTGGATAGGATGATTGAAGTTGGAAGTGGGGTTGATGAATGTGATGCCGTTGCTGTGGTTGAATTGGTAGGTGGCAATATATTTAGTTTGAGGGAAAATTCAAGAGGAGGGTTTTGGGGTAGTGTTCGATTTAAAGAAAATGCCGAACTATTTGCGTAATTTGGAAAATTTTGTGCATCTTGGTTGTTTGCTAGTTTGATCATGACTAGGGCTGTTCGTAATCGGATTCTCAAGGATGCCAATGGTGATATTAGTGATCATCTGCGTAACCATATACACTTGACTAACTGTATTCATTTGAAAAACCATATGCATAAGCATAGTCCCCTATTGCATGATAAGTCCCTTATGAGGGACCTTATTGTGCTTCAGAGGTCTCGTTCTCTTAGGGATCCTTCGGCTAGTCCCCCACCGTGGCATTCTCCTGTCATTGCTGATCTGCTTTCTAGAGATGGGGAAAGGCTTGAGAATGGCAGAAGGTCAACTGGTGAGCATTCAAGGGATGGTAGAAGGTTGTCTCAAAGTTCCCCGCCTCTTGAGAGTCTTGAGGCTGGAAGGACTAATTACCAGGCAGCATTAGGCAGTGAGCACAGTAGCAAGAGTGGAGCTTGGGATGTCAGAAGGGAGAGGGAGAAAGAATCTAGCCGAAAGAGTGACTTGTCTGGAGGTAACCAGGGGACTCAACCTTATGAGAATGGGAATGAATTGTCTCAAGGGGTATCAGGAAATTCCGATAGAAAAAGCAGAAAGAGTACTGCAACAGGGAAATACAGTCAAGAGGGTAACCCTAAAACTCTCTCGCAGCAGTTGCATGAGATCACCATGGATAGTGATGGTGTACTTTCTTCAAACAAGCATCCTAATGGGAGGCACTCGAAAACAGAAAAGCTTTTTGAAGAAGCAGAACCTAGTGTTCGTGGCGCATGCAGTGGTTTCAATAAAGTGAGGAGGCGCAAGTTCAGGAGAGTAAAAAGACCAGGTGCTATGCCTCCGAGGGATAACAGGCCTCAAAATGATATATCTGTGGCATCAAATTCATCAGTAAAGGGCGTGGTGCAACAAAGGCATCCCATGGGAGAGGAAGAAGAGGAAGTAGGTGACCATAATGTTTCAAGGGGTCCACGAAATGGGTGTGGAATACCCTTTAATTGGTCAAGGATTCATCATAGAGGCAAGACAATTCTTGATATAGCTGGCAGAAGTTTGTCATGTGGTTTGTCTGACCCAAGGTTAAAAAGAGGAGGTCAAATGTCCCAGGGAAGAGATGCCTCCGACTTTCCTGCTGCATCAGATCAGTCAAGCTCTTGTAGTAAGTCTGATGCTGAGGCACTGCCTTTACTGGTTGATGGATCTGAGAGCTCAGATAATGCTGCTTGGGCCCATGATTACTCTGGGGAGCTAGGCTTATTTGCTGATAGCCTTTTGAAACGTGATATAGAATCTGACCTTGCTTCTGAAGCTAGATCTGGTGACCAACGCAAGCTAAGAGGGGGACGCCATGCTAGACATCAGAATTTGACTCAGAAATACATGCCAAGAACATTTAGAGATTTGGTTGGCCAGAACTTGGTTGCACAGGCTCTTTCTAATGCCATTGTTCGGAGGAAGGTTGGCTTGTTATATGTCTTCCATGGGCCTCATGGAACAGGGAAAACATCATCTGCAAGGATATTTGCCAGAGCTTTAAATTGCCAGTCACCTGAACATCCTAAACCCTGTGGCTATTGTGGTTCTTGTGTTGCACATGATATGGGTAAAAGTAGAACTATAAAAGAAATCAGTCCTGTAAGTAATTTTGACTTTGAGAGTATTATGGATTTGTTTGAGAATATGATGTTGTCTCAGCAAGCTTCCCAGTACAGAGTTTTCATATTTGATGACTGTGATACACTTTCCCACGATTGTTGGAGTGCAATATCGAAAGTCATTGATCGACCACCCAGGCGTGTAGTATTTGTCCTCATATGTTCGAGTCTGGATGTTTTACCCCATATAATTATATCCAGATGCCAGAAGTTTTTCTTTCCCAAGCTGAAAGATGCAGACATTATATATGCTTTACAATGGATTGCTACTAAAGAAGGTTTAGACATTGATCGGGATGCACTGAAGCTTATAGCATCCAGGTCAGATGGTTCTTTGAGAGATGCCGAAATGACGCTTGAGCAATTAAGTTTACTTGGTCAAAGAATCTCAGTGACACTAGTGCAGGAGTTGGTAAGCTAGCCATGAACATTCACTTAGATATAATTAGAGAATATTTTATGTTTTTGCATCTATTTTTTATTTTTTTTTAATTAATGTTTAATTTTGCAAATAGTAAGTATATCATCAAAGCTATTTCCTCTTTTGGTATTCATAATTTGGATACATCTTTCGGAGCAATTGACCAATATGTTGAAGATGTCAGATGTCTAAAAAAATTTCCTAGAGCATGTGCAATACTTTCTAGCTCTCTGTATCCCTTTATCAGTTTGTTTATCTATATCATCTGTTGCATACACAAAGAATGTACCTATTATTAGTACAGTGAGTGATGTTGATGCTTTAGCTTGAATATTTTAACTATTGCTAACATTTAATTTCCTTTAATTGTTTATTTTAAAAATTACATGGATTTTCTCCCTAATATTTAGGGAGATGTGAGAGAGCAACACCAGAAACCTAGGGTTACCCTTTGGATCACTCAAAACTTATAAGTGTCACTATGCCTAAAAGCCTTGACCGTCATTTATTCCTTTTAGGGTTTCTTTTTTGAAGAAATTCATTTTTTATATTTTGGTCTAGCTATGTATAGTGTGCTCTTGTTCTATCCCTTCAAAATGAATATTCAATAGCCTCATAAATTTGAAAATCAGTAATTGTGAGGGAGAAAGAAACATAAATTCATCGAAACTACTAGTTTAGAACTTTCTCTATAAACTGCAATGTGAATGGATTGGAAAAACTTTAAACGTAAGTGTTTTTGAGATGCATGGCTTGAGCCATTGTATATTATTCACAATTTTGTGCCATTGAAATCATTGTTCAAAGTCCATTTAGGATCATCATCATCACATGAGCTTTAGCTTTGTCTGAGTTGCTCTATAGCAATGGTATTAATGGAGAATGTAGGCTCAGCCTGGAAAAGCAAAATAAACAAAAGAAAATACTTCGTATATCAAAAAAATAATGGTGGTAGATATAACAATTACAATAGTGGCTGATAGATGTAAAGAAAGTTCAAATACTTGGGGAAAACATGATTTCTCATGGAAAATATCTTTAACAGCGCAAGGTAGTTTTGCTATAACAAAATGTAAGTATGGTTGCATTTATACCCATTTCATAATGAAGACTGATCCTTTATTCAAATATCTTTTTGATAACTTGATCAGTTGACCCAGGTAATATTTCATTTGCATGCACCACACATGTATAACTCTGCAATGGCCTGACGATAGCAATGGTCTATTCAGCTTTTGTCTGATGTGACTGAGAGAGAGTCTATATTCTGTCAACGTGGCTTACAGTAAGCAAAACAGTATGAGTACCTATAAGGCAAAAAAAATTGATTCTTAGTGTGCTAATTAATGAAAGAAAATGATGAAAATAGTTGCATAAATCAGTTTGCTGGGCATTGTCAATGGCTTTATTTACTCTGTACTGACATTGGAAATTTTTTTCCTCCTCAGGTTGGTCTGATTTCTGATGAGAAGTTGGTAGATCTACTTGACTTTGCTCTGTCTGCAGACACAGTTAACACAGTCAAGAATCTGAGGGAAATTATGGAAAGTGGTGCTGAGCCATTGGCTTTGATGTCCCAACTGGCTACTGTTATTACTGATGTGTTAGCTGGTACATACAACTTCACAAAAGAAAGGCGTAGAAGAAAATTCTTTCGGCGACAACCATGTGAGGCTAGATCTACTCTTCCCTGCCTAGTATTACTAAGAGTATATTATTGAAAACACCTTTTATTTATTTCTGTATAGAATTACTTTTAAAACCTCTTTATTTTTCAAGGGGATACCTTATTTTAATGTTCGATCAAAACAAATCATTTTCCCAGCACTTAGTTCCCCCCCCCCCCAAACTCCACTTAATTTTTTACACCTTTCTTCCTTTTATCCTTCACTGACACCTAATAAAGATGTTTTTGCATAATTTGTATGCTTTTCCATGCACAAACCAAAACAAAAAATACTCTTATATTGTCCTTAACCTGTTAGTTATAAAGTAGATTAGTCTGCCTTCTGAGGCAATATAGTATATACTTATTACACTTACCCTTCGGATATCATCACAGTCAATTTATAGCAGCTGGAAACTGTTTAATTGCATTGACTAGCACAAGTAATTGATGAGACTATACATTTAAATTAATAATATTGAGATTATTCAGGCCGGCCAATAAAGAAAAATGAAAAGACATTCTGAAGAATGCTACTCAATACAAGGGGGTTGAGATTCTAGGGTAGGCGTGGTCAGGTTGAGATGGATGGAGAAGAGATATAATGGACAGAAGATAGGTGTTGGTGGTGGTTTTCGTTGAGGTAGGCTGGGAAAAATTGAGGTTAATTTATTAGAGGGGAGGAAAGAAAAACACAGGCAGAAGTGAAGAGAAGTCCAAAAATTAAGAATAAAGGGAAAAATCTAAGTCAATGCTGGAAAATTGACTCTTTTTGGCCATAAATCAGAAGTAAGGTATTACCCCGCAAAAAAAAGTTATAGTTAAAAGGCATTGTGCATTTGCGTAAAAGTTAAATATAAAGGGATTTCCCGAAACAAGTGAGTTTTAATGCTACTCTATTGCCAATCCTTATTTTTATTGTTATTATTATTTTCATCACCATTTCAATAATAATGTCATCAACTCTTCATCATACGTGTAGCTACTTGTCTTAAGCTTTTCAATATTATATTTTGATTGTATAGTTGCACTTGATTCAGCCATATGGTGATTATTGGCTCATTAAGCTGACTCCATCAAGTGAGAATAGGCTTCAATCAGTTCAGTATACCCCCACCCTCATCTGTAATATATCTCGAATGACCTATTGACGTGATGTCAGGTTTGGTAGGTGGTAGTAAATTGTGCTAATGAAATGAATTTGTATGTAGATTTGAAAGGAAAATTATCTGCCAATGGCCACGGTAATGCTAGTTTACCCCAAAGTATCTCTTTTTCTCATAATAGCAAGTCCTAGGATGAACTACAAATTGTTGTAGCTTGACTTGACGCACCTTATTATCAAACTATAATACTTACAAACCCAACTAATGGTTGGCTGCAAGACCTTTAATCTTGAGTGTGTTTCTTCCTTTACTCTTTTTTCCCCAAGTGTATAGCTTTGTTGCGAGCTCAGTGTCATTTTGTTTCGTGTCTCCAATTGTAGGCTTGTTGCTACACTTTTCACTAGATTTGTAAGCTAGTCCTTTTATTCACCATTGGAGTTGCTCTAGATTTTCATTACCACTTGAGGGGTGCTATAGTGTGGTAATGGAATTTTATTATAAAGAAAAACACAAGTTTGGGGATGGGGTTGCATTATTGGGCATTAGGATGATTTTCTTACAAAGTTACTCTTAAATCCATCCTTGTTACCACCATTTATCACCGCCTATCAAATGGACCATGAGTGTTTAGTGCATTACAACTTGCTTAACTGCTGAAAATTGATCTTTGCCTTGCTAATATTTTGCTGTAGTTATTGTTGCTTGCTATTTTTTTGCTTGTCCTGGTACTAATGTAAAATAAATTTTGTTCAATTGTTACAGTATCCAAAGAAGATATGGAAAAACTTCGCCAAGCATTGAAGACTCTCTCGGAAGCTGAGAAGCAGCTGAGAATGTCTAGTGACAAATTGACCTGGCTAACAGCTGCATTGCTTCAACTTGCTCCTGATCAGCAGTATATGTTGCCCAGTTCCTCGGCAGAAGACACTAGTTTCAATCACAGTCCATTGCCCCAGAATGATGGGAGAGCTGTGACCAGGAAAGGTGGAATGGAGCGTGCCATAGTGTCCAATAATGGGAGGCGTTTTTCTACTGAAAGTGGAATGGAGAAGCATTATGAAGGCAGCCCTAGTGGTACTCATGATGGTAGCAAGGTATCTGGCAACAGAAGGCAAGGTGCTAGGATTGCTTCTCACGAAACTTCTGCATATGATGGTATGGGAGTCTGTGAAAAGCGAGGCAAAGGTCACACAGAAATTGAAGACATCTGGTTGGAGGTGCTACAGAATATTCAAATTAGCTGCGTAAAAGAGTTTATGTATCAAGAAGGGAAGCTGATCTCTGTCAGTTACGGTGCAGGTAATGGCTTAGCTCTTATGACCGTGATCCATGTGCTGGAATTGTGGTAATGTGTTTGCAATTTTCTATTGTTTGTGTTTTTTGTATTGGCATAATTTTCTTAGTATCATTCATCAGAAAGTGGAAGAAGATACTGTTACTAGCATATAATCCACCCCTTTCAAATAATTGTCTTTTGTTTTAGGTGAGAATAAATGTGCACCTAAAATATCAGTGAACTATTGCTCATCTTTTAGAGTACCAAGGGAATTATAATTGTCAACTTTAAAAACAAATTCAATAACTAGTAATTCCTTGATTTATACATATTTTGGAATGAGAGGGTGTACGAACAGCCTTAAAGAATACGCACAAACAGATAATTAGTTAGCTACAGGGTGGGTCACTCTACATGGAATCATAAACTCTTCACAAAAGTTTGAATACAATGTTACTACTTTGATTTCTTATCTTGGTCCCCCTGTTTTTGAGACCATGTACATCAAGTATGTTCTCTTTTGGTCCCCATATTTGAGGATGTTAGATTGCCTGTTTCGTAAAAACAATAAGCTGTCTAAGATGTGGGGCTGTTATCATATATATATATATATATACTATTCAAAAGTCAAAACAGTGATGCGTATAGAGAAATGTGAGATGCCTTTTTTTAATGATATTTTCTAGTTTAAATTTTGTGGTCCTATTAGGAACTAGTGTTTGTGGCACTTCTCTGCGGGCTTAGTTGTTTGACTGACCAACTTTCTTCCACGCAGCTCCAACTGTTCAATTGTTGTTCAGTTCTCTTCAGACCAAATCTAAGGCAGAAAAACTGAGGGCTTATATATTGCAAGCATTTGAAGCCGTGCTTGGCTCCCCTGTTACAATTGAAATAAGATCAGAATCAAGAAAAGATGCAAGGCTAGGTGGTCATACACCACTTGTCTTGCCCACATCTGAGGACAGATATGGTGGTTCTAGCAGAATGATTGCAAAGAACAAGGGTAATTCTGGAACCAGTGAAATTGTTGAACTAGCAGGTTCTCCAAGGGAACAAAATTTTAGTGACCATGTTGATATTCATGGAAAATCAGATAAGAGAGATTTGCGAGGAGCTCGGGCTGGTGAAACAGTCCCATCATTCAAACATCCTGACTCATCTGCTGTATCTGAAAGAGGAAGATTTGGGGAGGAAAATCAGTGTAGAAGCCTGGTGAGGGGCAAAGTTTCCCTTGCGCATGTGATTCAGCAAGCAGAAGGATCCTCCCAACGCAGTGCATGGACAAAACGCAAGGCTGTATCAATTGCTGAAAAACTTGAGCAAGAGAACCTGTATGTGTTTCACACTGATATTTTAATCCATCTGCCACTATTTCATTCATGTTTTCATTTTCTTAGTCTTGGTTATTTCTTACTAAAAATTCATGCTTATACTGTTTAAGTATCTTGAAACAAATCCCTGCCTACAGAAAGCAAATTAATTACTAAGACAGTATTCTGCTTAATTCATACACCCTCTCCCCAATAAATCACTGTCTAGAAAAGTGTGAACTTACCTAGCTTAACAAAATTAGGCAAAAATTTTATTCCTATACTTAATTAATGATTAAAACACACCACATGAGATTCACTGACATGAGAAATGACTGGTTCTGTGACTGATTTGTTGCTCATATGCTGTATATCCGACTTCCGCAGAAAGTTGAGTGACTGCTTTCTGTTACTGATTGGTTCTAGCATGTGTGTTTGAATGGATAGGAATTTTTTTATTTTTTTTTTCGATATCTTTTTCCTGCATCAATTAGGGACTGCATTACTAATAGAATTCTGAGTATGGCAACACTTGTGTCACACTTATAAAATTTGTCGAGTCAGATGCTAGGCCCTTAGTTATCACAGTTTGACATTTAGCACAGTTTTGGGGATTCTCCATTATTATTATTAAAAGAGGCTCCAGATTTTACTGGAAAGACTCAATAATGTTGGGATCTGGTTTTCTGCATTTAAACCTTTCCCCTTAATTTCTCGGTAATAGGAAGATGGTCGTGCGCCATTGCAAGACTTGTTAGTTGTTACACATATAATTTGTTAATATGATGACATTTTGTGTTCATCATCATTGCTTGCATTTATCTCCCTTTTGCGTATTTTACTTTAATATTAAAGATGTCGTTGGAATTACTAGATTCAGTAATGTCGTGGGGAAATATACTAAGTTTCTTGATGTTGCTACACACTTATATTCTAAGTTGTATATTTAAATCATCTGCCATATGCATTCAATTTCTTGATTATATTTTAAAATTATAATCGGACAATTCTTAGTCTCTCAATTACTTTCAGAAACTCCATTGATACTTTGTAATTATGTTATATGTCAAATAATCTTCTTCTGACATTTCAAATTTTCTTTGTCTTTCAGGAGGTTGGAACCTAAATCAAGAAACTTGTTATGTTGGAAACCATCGCGAACAACACGACGGAAGGTAATAAAATCAATACTGCTTTTTTTTTTTTTTTTTGAGTTGGGTTGGGAGGACGAGCTTGTATGGTCAGAGGGGAAAGGTCATTAGCCAGCTCACTGACTAAGAGCAGATTAAGCATAACTAAAAGCACAATGCAGTTGGCCATCTATCCTGCCATCAACGTCTCTGGCTCTCTGCTTTTAAGCCATGAGCTATGCTTACATGCAACTTTACATTTGACCTCTTTTATAATTAACAAGAATTTTGGACTACATCTGTGGTTTAGTAGTGGTATTCTGTTTATAGATGGAGGACAGACTAATGTAAGTGCTGTTGTTATTGCTATGAAGCATTGGAGTGGTGGGGATGATATAATCATACGAAGATATTGTTTCGGGCTTGAAATTGAGCATGATGGAGGGTCTGCTTATAATTCCTATGTATTAATAACTGTGCATTTTTTGAAGAGATGCTCAGTTTGAATTGCCCACTTGTTAAATTTAGTTTAAAAGAGATAGCTTTTACGCTATTCATCTTCCCATATTATCCTTTTTCAAAAAGTAGTTCATTTGAAGTGTATTAAAACAAATTAAATTGCTCTGAATCTACTTGCCTGCAAATTACTAAACGATAAAAATATTTTTTGATTACAAGAGGTCTGAAGAAATTCAAAATTCCAATCCAATTCTTGTTTATGATGTGTACTAGTAGGTTAGGTAGTGTGAGAATGGCGATATGATGATTGATGACAAACTCAAAGATACTTGTTATTGGTATCCCATTTGGTAATATGAGAGATTATTTCGCAATTTGGGATTTAGTGTGCAGACCTTAAGTTGAGTATTGTAGGTTGGTCTGCTGGTTAGAGTTCCAACTCTTAGTCAAAGAGCTTGTAATTGCTAGGGAAAGGATTGTGTTTTGTATCTCTGTTGCCTGATTGTTTTTACTGTACACATGCACTCAGCTAAAGTATGACTTTTCATGTGACGGATAAATCTGGGTTATAACTTGATAGGGAATTTTACTCTCATCGGGGTAGGGGGAAGATAAAAATGACTATCATGGGTGATATTGTGACACGAAGGCTGGTCCACAGTTGTTAATTTTGAGTCTTGGAGTCTTACAGCATATGTTGGCATGTTGCTATACCTACCATTCATTGGTGTGTTACACTCCTTGTTCAGTTTCCTGAACTAGGATGTTTTTAGAATTGTTTCTGACTATACTAATAGATTTCCAATTCATTAATGTATGCAGTTATCAAGGTTAAAGATTCGGGCACGAAGACCCCATTCATTGCTGAAGCTTGTATCTTGCGGAAAGTGTCTCTCTTCCAGGTCGCCGAGGTAAATGACTGTAACGGCTATTGAGGCTTCCCTGTGCATCTGTAATTATCTTTTTAAAATTCGTCTGTCATCTAGCTGCTTATAATTTCAATTTTACCACTTTAGATAGGCTATTAATAAATCTTCTTCGAAAATGTTAGGAAATTTGTAGCTAGGTAGGGTACTAGGCAATAGAAGTAGAAGATATTCTGTAGCTCAGTTATCGTTAATTTTCCCCCTTTCTGTAATGCAGCTGTTGTATGTTAGTAACATTCATTCATGGCAATGGAAATCATCAAATGCCCGAGTTATAGTTCAATTCTATCCATTTGCAAGATGTTTTATAAAAATGTACTCGTACATCTTACGGAATACTACTATTTTGTTTAGGTGATTAAAGAACCAATAGCACAAAATTTATGGTTTAATGAATATGTATACTCCATCTATCTGTAAATAATTGCCATGATATGTGATCCAAATCCATTTTTAATATTTTGCCATGATTTTACTATATGTTTATTCAAGGTAATTCTATTTTACAAACTGTGAGAGTTTATGAGCATTTCAAAGTGATGTACGATATGTGACTTTAAATTCCTAACAATAGTATTATACGAAGCTAGTTGTACCTATTAGTGAGATTAACACTTTGTTTGAATAGCAAGATAGTAGAGAAGGGAAAGGGATGGAAGAAGGAAAAGGAGTAGAAAGAAAGAGGGGGCAAGCGAAGCTTTATATTACCTCTAAATTTCTCGAGTTTTAGAGCATTGATGTTTAATAAACGAGGAAAGGAAAATAACACTCTTTCTCTCCCCTCTCTCTTTCCCCAACCCTTCACCCAAGCACTGGAGCTTTTTCCTCTCCCTTTTCCAGTTTTCCTTCCCTCTCCTTCTCTTCATTCGTACAACGCACTTGATAACACCATATGTATACGAGGACATTGTTGAGTATAACCAAATTTACATACAATTACAGTCAATTTGTATACATGCAGCTTTGGCCATATTTTTCAAGTGATGGGTAGATTATATGTGTATTGATTAGCCGCCGGTTAGCCCTGATAAAAATGAATCGAATTACGGAGTATAATGCTGTGAAAAAGACCCTCCCTCGGCAAGTTTCAAAAATCCAATCCAGTTGTAAAATATGCTCAAAAGGTTATTATTAACACTTTTGTACTTGGAACTCTCCATATAAAGAAACGAGCAAAGCTAGCCTGGATTGAGGGTAATGAGGGGTAAAAATTAATGGGGTAATAATTATGGATTTTAACCTGGCGCCTGGAATGGGGGTGATTAATCGGGCGGTCGGGCCAATAGTATTCGTCCCTATTAGGAAGGTAACACATTACCTAGACCTCCTATGATAACAATTCACCATGTCTAAGATATTGACCTCTGAATTTGGCTTATGGTAATTTGCTCTCCGATACCCCTGATTACTATACCCAATCCAAGCGAGTCCTAAGTGTATCCCCATCACATCCATGATACACCCGGGTGTAATGGTGTATCCGTGTGTATAATGGACGTCATACACTCCCCTAAGGGTAGTGATTCTCTTCTCTAGTTTCTCTATCTGAACTGCAGCCAGGTCAACTTACTTTTCTTTAGCAGAAGAACACAGCAACACACAATGTTTCTTTTCTTTTACTAAGAAACATCCAACATACAAAATTAGTATTCCATAAATCACAAACAATTTTTCTACAATGGCAAGTATATTGCCGCGTCTATAAGTTATACCTGCATGGCTGGATTTCTGCTTGAGGTTGAAATTCCCCCAATGCATAATTAAAAATTTTCCAAGTAATTTTCTGTAATTTTCAGTAGATATTTCGTTGATTTAGTTAATGTTTTCAGTTATATAGACATTTTGAATTCTTGTTATTGTCACTTTTTCTTTTTCCCGCTACCTAAAATCTTGTACACTCCCCCCTCATGTCACATTATTTAAGGAATGAGTGAAAGTAGAACTTCAGGAGACAAGAGTATAGGAGGAAAACTTGAGAACATTCATTCATTGTTTCTTACACAATTATTCTTAATGAGAATTGAAGAGGATTGTACCTCCTAGATGAAGTTATGTCTTGTTATCGTGGATTGATATACATCAGATACAGTATTGAATGGATGAGATTTCAAGCTTCAAATCAATGTTCAATTCCATATTATGTTGACTATAGTGTTTTGCAATTACTGCCAACTACCACATATTTTGTCAATGCCGGAATTATTGATTTTATTGTGACTTGTGACTGTTTCGAGTCTCCTATTTCCTAAGTACTAGAAAAATTAAGGGGGTTGTTAAACGTCGCTCCCAAATTACTAGGCGTCCGCTCGAATTTTTTCCTTAAAATTCCATATTTACCCTTCGTATATAAATACTCACGACACTTACAACACATTTCATGCTCGATAAACTTAAAATCTGAAATTTTTAAAAAAAAACACAGAAAATTCACAAAAATAACTAATATTACCTAATAATACTAGTACTAATTACTCAAATTATCACAAAAAAATAATAATCACAATAAAAATTATAATTATCATACAAAAATTACATTAATTAATTTGATTAATTAATTTTTTTTTTTAAAAAATTTGTTTTGATTAAAAAAATAAATAAAATTGGACATCCGCCTAAAAAATCTGGATCCTCCATGGTGGATCCGCCTAGAATTCCCGGATCCGCGATGGAAGATCCGGAAATTCTAGGCGGATCCTCCATGGTGGATCCGCCTAAAATTTTCGGATCCACCGTGGAAGATCCGGAAATTCTAGGCGGATGTGTAAGCTTTTCAAAAAATAAAAAAAAATTTCGAGGACTTACATAATCCTCCGATGATGCCTCCGGAGTACAATCGTTGTCGTCATCAACGTCCTAAACCCGTCACTAAAGTTTAATAAATTTTTTTTTTAAAAAATGGGATTTTTGGGGGTGGGCTCGGGAATTTTGGGTTGGATGTCGTGGGGTTGGATGTGGTGGGCTCGGGAATTTTTTTTAACCAAGTAGTGGATCGAATGTGCTCGGGAATAATATAAAATGCTCGGGAATCTTTTTAACCAAGTGGTAGAGCCTTATATAGTCCAACTTATGGAAAGGGAAATATGATCCTTTCATGTCAAAATGGGAGCGACGCCTGGTAAATTGGGAGCGACGTTTAGCAGTTCACAAAATTAATCGTGTTGATCGACATTCATAGTAGAAGCCTAGAAGGCGGAAACTTACCTCAAACTTTCCTAATAGGATTGTCAAAAGTTGATCCAATTCGATAATTTGACTTAGAGCTAACATGAAATAAACACTGTTCCTGTCAAAAAATAAAAAATAAACACTATTGACATCGAAATATTAGGAGTGTTTTACATTAAATTAAATAAATTAATTTGGGTTAAAATTATTTTAGTAATCCATTTTAATTTATTTTGCCCACCCAAATATATAATCCGAATTAATCAAATAGAATTCGAGTTATAAAAAAAACAAATTAAATGGATCAGGTTCAAAGACTTCTAAGTCATAATGGGCCAAGCCTAAACCAACTAAGTTCGATCAAAGGGTTCACATCTCCTATAAATACACCATTCCTCCATATTCCCACGAGCTCATAAAACTCAACCGGAATTCTCTTAAATAAGTCAATAAGCACATTAAATAAGACCCTGTTCACTTCACCTTAAAATAATAATATTCAGTAAAAATAATTTCAGTTTAGTAAAAATAAGTTCAGTTCAGTAAAAGTTTAGTTCAGTAAAAATAATTTCAGTTTAGTAAAAATCAGTAACTTCAAAGAAGAAATATAATAGAAAATAAGTAAAAATAATTTCAGTTCAGTAAAAATAAGTTCAGTTCGGTAAAATTAATTTCAATTCAGTAAAAATAATTTAAGTTCAGCAAAAATAATTTCAGTTCAGTAAAAATAATTTTAGTTTAGCAAATATAAGGTGAAGTGAATGGGGCCTAAGGGGGCATTTGTTGACACCGAAATTTTGTTAATTTTTAGGTGTCAAATATACGTAAATAAGAAGATAATGTCAAAGAAATATAAGATATTTATCTTCAAGATCTCGTAGAATATTTGATAGTTATCTTGTTTACTACTCTAAAGAGGGATTCCTTTCCCCTTTCCCCCCATTCTCAAAGTACCTAACCTACTAATCCGGGTCGGAAGGACCCGTGAAATATTCCGGTCCGGAAAAGTCATATAATCTTTCTCCTTACCAACCAAAAAAAAATATTCCACAAATACCCCTAAATCCCTAATGGCAATAAGCGCTCCACCTTAAAGTTAGTTAAAGGTAAAATGTTACCACTATGTCAAACTTGACTCGATGTTAAGTATTGATTATGACTTTATGAGGGTAACTTAGGTTGTTGTTGACTACTTGTACCACTTTTGACATTCGAGTTGTCGTATCTAGCTATCTACGTCTAATAATAGTGTAATAATGTTGATTGTTGGACTAAAAAACCCCTTTGCATGCCGTGTCTAACTCTTAACATTATTTCATAAACTTCTTTCCTAGAAATGTCATCCACGTAACAACACGGCTAGATATAATATTTCAACGTATGTATGTAACTAATTAAAGTAGGTAATAAGTTTGATTATTGCTAAATTATACCTGTATTATTATGACTTTTAACGAAATCTGACTGACTTTCCTTTTCAGCAATTACAATTACTACAATTGTAGAGTTGTACGTCGTAGTGTCCCTTTCTAGCTTAAGGCCATCCATCAATTTTGTGGAAAAACGGAGTAAATTCATTCAGATTACTCTTTGGACAAATTTAACACTTTTGATGAAGACAAATTAAATATGAATGCTTGGAAAATTGTAGGCACATGATTTCGATTTGGAAATTTCTTAGAAATTGCTATTCTAATTATACACACAATGTACCGAGTAATTTGCATGCATATATGTCTTTCGGTACTTTAGCAATCTAAATTGAGCAGTATATTTCAATAGTTAAGATTCTAATCAGAAATTATACAATGGGTATTAGTCCATAACTTGCTATTGGGTGTCTAATTATACAATGGGTATGTATTTATGGGCCTAAATGATGAGTCTAATTTAAAAATCAAGCTTATAACAAGCTTGGTTTTGAACTCGAGTCAATAACGAGCTTGAGTTGAGCCACAAGCCGAGTTCCACTTTTTGAGCGCTCAAGCCGATCTCAATTTTCAAGGCTCAACGAGCCTCAAACCCAAACTCACGAGTTCGAGCCGAGCCTACCGGTATATGGGCTCGACTCGGCTCATTAACAACCCTAATCATGATATGTATCGTTTATTGCAAAAC